TTACGTTCCTTCTCTTCTTTAATTTTTAACAACTTAGCAAATAATTTAACGTAGTAACACCAACATATCTCACAATCCAAGTGCAGTCTTTTGTTAGACAACCTCTCTATATCTTTTTTGTGTATTTATATATACTTCGTGGATGGGTAGTGTAATCCGAATCTGTCTTATGTCATTATTCGATTGTTTTTAGATTTTTTTATTCTTTTATAACTATTTACTTTATATATTTTTATCTATTTATTTCTTTAATACTTATCTAATGTTTTTTAATTCTTATTTTACTAATTATGTATAACTTCTACTCACTATTTGATATATTTCTTATTATAATAGAGATTTAATTTAATCTATTTGTTGCTATTATATGTTGATTTCGATTTAATTGCTAGTGTTATATCCTTTACAAACATAGTACGTGCGTATTTTCTTTATTGTTTTTTATTTTTTCAATAAATATCTTTGTTTTTACAACACGTCTCTACTCTCTTATTATATTTCTTTAACTTATATTATCATTTTCGATGTACACTAAAATGAAGGTTCTCTTCTACCTCGTTCTCAAAGACGTTCGGTCTCCGAACTAGACAATAAGGCCACAGTGATACAGTTGGGTACTTGAAGGGACTGATGTTAGTAAAGAAAAAAAAAGGAAAGACATCTTAATGTACCACTTTGCATCACGACGACATGATTAAATCTGAAATAGTACATCGTGGTCAAATTTTATCCTATAAGTAATAGAAATCATAAACGCCGAAAAGTGTCGCGTAGAGTTTTGCCGCTATTGTCAGTGATGGTATTAAATGTAAAGTGGCACTGTACCCTGTTTTACATGCAGTCGAATGGAGTACCGTGCTTAGGTACGAGAGGAAACCTTTTGTAACCGGCCTTGCTATCTTGTTCGCAAAGTACGCCCGGACACCCGACGTTGCTCGTTTCTTTTTGTAGGACGCATCGATGTTCATCGTGATCCGAAATCGATTGCAATCTGATTGCTTTGCTTGACGGCTCATTTTACCGTTTGGACCATTAATTATTATGATATGTAAACATTTTGATTCCACACAATTTTTGCTGTTAAAGTTTTTATGTCTAAGAT